TGTTTGACTAAGGTCTCCAGTTTCTCAATTGCATACAATTCCTGCACCATTGGGATCCCCTCATAGTCCCAGAATACAGCGCACTTTCGCACAATACATCTTGCAACTTCGCGAGCCGTGAGTTTCGGTCTAAAATGTCTTGTATGATAAAAATGGCACTGTAAAACTTGTTTGTTCGAGGGCAGTTGGTTTTTACAAATTTCTTCGATTGCGTTACCGATTAATGCGATGTCGGTTAACTGTCGTGTTTGCGGAATTTTCCTACAAACTTTTTTGTGACTGTTTTCACTGTTAGATCGTTAACGTGGCGACTATCTCTGGTGTTGATTGTCTGGAAGTCTCCCTTCGACTGACCGTCAATCCAAACTTTAGGTAAATTGCCAATAGGCATCTTGTCATATGAGCGACAAAGTACGTGGAATTTTCAACCCTAAAAGTGACGGAGAAGAAGAAGCAAGGAAAACTGCTTTTCGCACCATAAATCGCTCTAAAATCAATTGTTCAGGTTTTCCGGAAAATATTCGGCTGCACACTCGACTGAATGACTTCGAATACCGATTTATTATCGTCCCATTCTGAGAAAAGAATCGTGAAATTCTCTAATGAAATAGTTTTAAATGAAATCAAATAAGAATGCCCAGAATATTATCGATATGAGATGTTCCGCTGCACCACATGTCAATGCATATGATCATTTCGGGTCCAAGGTCAATTGTTTTCCGGAATATCATTTCATTTTAATTATATAATTAAATACAGGAAAGAGGCAATTTGTTTTCAGAGTCGATAGATAGATCAATATTGCTCCAATTGATTTTCAAAATATTCTAATTAAGATGATAATTGTTATAAATTACAAATTATAACTTTGGAAATTATTTTAGGGGCGCGTGTAATAGTGAATATTAAGTGAAATGAATGGGGGGCGACAGCTCTGTACCGTGCTACCTGGGAAATGACCCATGCGCTCGGTCGACACTCTTACTACCTGGCAGAGGACTGTCATAAAGCAATTTCACTTTTCACCAAGGTTCTTAGCTATGAACTGCCAGTAGATCAGATATTTTTGTTAAACTTTGAATCGTCCGTGCTGTCTCAAAAAACATGTTGAAAAAAAAACATTCGTTTTATTTAATGAGCTTCCGATTCTGCATACTTACAAGGAACACTACCCAGGTGTCTCCGATTTCGATGAAACTTAAATATGTTATAGGGGACCCAAAACTAAGGGAGACGTATTTTTTTTTTAGCTGCCCATATTGGGTTTTAGGGGGTGAAAGTGCTCTCTGAAGTTGACCACCTCTCGGGGTCCTTTTTCGTTGCACACATAAGGAAGCTTTTTGAACAACTCTTTCGCAGTGTATCATGAAGGTCACAAGGAATGATGAAAATGCGAATTAGAACCGTCTCCGGGGGGTGAAATATGGAGGGTAAACTACCCTTGTGAAAATTCATTTTTCTCATAGAAAAAAAATTTTGATGGAAATCCCATGGGATAAATTCCATTTGAAAAAGTAGAAAAAAATACAGAATACCTCTTTTGTTTTTTGTAAATCGAAATTTAAAACTTAAAAAAATAGATTTTTCGTGAATTGCGAAATTTCAAACTTTTTCCTGTACAAAACAAAGCTTACGGCTAATGATGAGGGAAACCATTGGGACAGGATCCAGGAGTGATGTCGGCGAGGTTAACTACCCTTTGGGGAGGGGGGGGGGGATTTTTTAAAATAAGGGAGAAAAAATATCGATGAGAGTTTTACGAAACACATTTCGTTCGAAAGCATGAGACAATTCGAAGCACATCCCGCGATTCTTTTCCCCAAATTAAAATTGAAAGTAAAATATTTTTTTTTATCATATACAAGTCTTCGATTTTTTGGTACATAAAAAAGATGAGTGATGAGTCTCTGGAAGTAACACTTGGAGGCTAAATAACCTTTCTGGGAGTTACTTTTAATTATATTAGTGAACAGAATTCATTTGAAAGAGTAAAGAATAATAAGAAATATCGAAATTTGAACCCATGAAAATGTCCATTGCTAGTTATATATGAATTACAACCTTTTAATTATCCGTCTACTTGTACCACAGTACCATAGTCCGAACTAAATAGTAAGGATTGAATGAAGATCCGATATGGAAAGGAAACAATGATGGCAGTAATCCCCAAATGATGGAATTCAGAATATATATTGATATTATTATAGAAGCTCAGACCATTTATTCCTTCTAGTATTATGTTCTCAATCAGTATACTTTCTGTTGGGATCAATCTACAGTATAGATAGTATTAGGGGACGTAATGCGTACAAAAATGATATTCTTCGAAAAAATGCAGCAAACAAAGTGATTTTTTGCACCATGAGCATCTGACTACTGCAATATTGGAACAGCCTTCAATATCACAGTGCGGATGAGATGATTGCCCGAATGCAAATTCGACAGGGGTTTTGAATTCATCTGGTTTTTTAGAAATGTAACCACTCTGAAACCAAGCATAACGGAATACATTTTGATACCTTGTTGATGATAATTGATTATGGACTAAAGACTGTAACTTTATGATATTGTTCCGCGAATGTAAATTAATATCATAGTCCATTAGGACGACACTATCCGAAAAATGACGAACATAATTCTTCCATATCCTAAAACCTTATACGTCAAGGGGTTGAATTTTTCCAGTAGTCCCCTTTAGTATCAACATAGTTAATAATTCTTTATCGGAAGGAGTAATTTCTTTCACGACTTGAGGACAGTGTCCGCTCCAGGAATCGATTAACAGTAGACTTCTAGGACCCACGTTTGGGAAAAAGACTTCCTTCAACCAGGTTTTGAAATGCTCTGAAAAATCAAGTACTAGATGATAATCCTAATTATTGTATAGAACATATCATGTTTGTTAGGTCTTAAATATTGTCATACGTGAAGTGAGTTTTCCCGATTTTGAAGTGGTGATGAACACATTCGCAGGTTTGAAGAGATTTTGTTCCACTATTGGACCGAAATTTCCAGAAGGTTCATTCAAAACCAGGAAGAGAGGTGAAAGTAATTTTCCATCAGCAGAAATCAGAGGTTGTACTGTATAACTATCTGTCGTTGAAGTTATCGATTGTACGACGCACGCTACTTGTTTAGTACCTTCTTCAGCTAACGTTCGCCCTGAATGAATTTCCAATTGGAAACCACTTTGATCAGTATTATAAATGTTTTCTGGGCCATACGTATCCCAATAAGACCGAACTTTCAGGAGGAATTCGTCCGCTTCTTTTTGTAACTCTTCCCGAGTCTCTAATGTTTTTCTGGTGATGAATTTGTTAATCTTCCGAAATGTTATGCGGTGTGCTCATTTGAAATAATGCAGCCACCTGGACGAAGCTGTAAAACGAACGTCTTCGAAGCCGATTTCCTTCCGGGCTTGCAGGGCCCACCTTCGGAGGTCAGTATCGTGGACGATCAAACCTGCATCGATAGCATTCTTCATATTCTTTAATATGTACTCCGAAATACATTTCAACTTCTCCATGTATGTCCCTCCTTTATTGATTTGATTCGCCCAGCGTCGTAACTGTCTATGCGATTTCACCTTCCTGAATCGATGGGAAACAGTTTCTATAGAGAGATTCTTCTTCTTTTTTCCACTTCTCCAGAAGTCAACGGCATTCTTTTTATATTCGAAATCTACAGGTTTCTCATCCTCCGAACAACTGTCAGATGATTCTTCTGTATGTGGTTGAAATTCTTTATCCTCGACCGCTATCGTTTCGATATCTTTATATGAATCAATATCCTTTAAACGTGTCTGCTAATTCACATTCCTCGTTGTTCACGGGTGTTTCAGCAAGATTGAGAACTTAAAATGTTGCCATCAGAAGTAGGATAACGTTGATCGGATTAACTTTCATGGTAGAACACGTATAGATCACGACACTCACCGAAAAACTACTTTTCTCTTCGATGTATGTTCATAGACTGATTGTAATTCACAAGAGGGATGGAAATGAAAAACATTGATATCGTATAAGTTATATTGATCAGAGTAATTTCATCCTCAGATAACAAATGAGCCATTTGCATCAATATGCTTACAACTTCCGACTATTCTTCAGTTGTGGGTCTGCATTATCAAACAGAATGGTATTGTCATATGTCGCCATTTACGTCTCATTGAAAAAGATATCACATTCTGTATTTTTTTCTCCTTTTTCAAATGAAATTTATCCCATGGGATTTTCATCAAAAGTTTTTTTTCTATGAGAAAAATAAATTTTCACAAGGGTAGTTTACCCTCCATATTTCACCCCCCGGAGACGGTTCTAATTCGCATTTTCATCATTCCTTGTGACCTTCATGATACACTGCGAAAGAGTTGTTCAAAAAGCTTCCTTATGTGTGCAATCGAAAAATGACTCCGAGAGGTTGTCAACTTCAGAGAGCACTTTCATCCCCTAAAACCCAATATGGGCAGCTAAAAAAAATACGTGTCCCTTAGTTTTGGGTCCCCTATAACATATTTAAGTTCCATCGGAATCGGAGGGGGACACCTGCGTAGTGTTCCTTGTTAGAAAGCAGAATCCGGAAAACCGATTATATAAGGCTGCCTAATGAATATAGACTCTTTCGCGTGGGAGATTGCATATGATTTAGCAGGGATTCCTTCACGTTGCGACCACTTGAGGGTTGAACGCTTCTAATTCCCTTATGAGATATAATTCTGGTAGAGATAAAAACGGGTAGACGTGATTGCCGACAGGTTCGAGTTACGATAGGAATATCATGAAAAAAGTAATGAATAGTTTTCTCGCAATTATTTTGCGATGTCGACTCATAGTTCTATCTAACCCGTTCATTAGAGATTTTAACGTGTCGTAGAGAACGAATTTTATGTTGTTTTTGTGAACCTTGCCCTTGCCCAGATTTGTGAATCTGTTTTCAATTCATCTCCTCTTATCACACCACCTTTAATTTGCTTTGATATATGACTGGTACCGTTATTCTTATTGTCAACAGGTCAAGAAGATTATGACAGACTTAGACCCCTGAGTTATCCACAAACAGACGTATTTCTAGTCTGTTTCTCCGTCGTATCACCTTCGTCTTTTGAAAATGTGAAGGAAAAGGTAGGAATCCTTCAAAAATAGCGAATCAACTCTTGGCTTGGTTTATTAGCAGATAAGAAACATGTAAAGGTTAATATCTGTTCTTTCTTCTTCACAGTGGGTACCAGAGATAACTCACCATTGTCAGAAAACTCCGTTTTTACTCGTTGGAACGCAAATTGATTTGCGGGATGATGCTGCGACGATTGAAAAATTAGCTAAAAATAAACAGAAGCCAATAACAGGTGAACAGGGAGAGAAACTTGCTAGGGAACTCAAAGCAGTCAAATATGTAGAATGCAGTGCTTTAACACAGGTGAGAGATAAAAAAGAAAGGTCAAGCACATTATATCAAAATTTTATTCCGTTGAACTGATCTCACTAGTTATGAATATTAGAAGTAAATTCAAAGAAAGTTTTCATATTGCAAATTTGTCTGCTACAGGAATTGTTATATACCCACTATTTCTATTAGAATTTCTTTCCTCAAGACCTTTTTATAAACCTCCACATGTACCATGTGGCTACCAAATGTCTAGAATTCAAGAGTTCCTTTCCGAATCATTTTATTACCCTTAACAACTAATTCTGCCAAATTCATAATCTTCACGTACCTATTTTATTACCCTCTTGGTCTCAAAATGTTTATTACTATCTTCGATACTTTCCCCAGTCCTCTAAAACCTTCTCTACCTACTACCTCTTGAGACAACCCTCTCAGAGTATTCACGCACCTATCCTTCGTGACCAATGTCCATGTCCTTGGGACTTACTCCCTCCAACTATCCACCCTTTCCAATCTACCCTCTTGCAAACTTCCCTCGGAGTCCCGAACTCCTCAGATCTAAAACCACCGTCCTAGTGACAACTTACCTCTCTAAAGTCACCCTCAAGACTTATTCAACATCCAGACATACAGTTTCTTCGTAATAAATAGATTTCGTGTTTAAAAGAGAGTTTACTTTATTTTTCTATCGGAATCCAATATAAATTTTGGCGACGAGGATCGGGATTCTCCAACACTCATATAACAGTGTAATAGTGAAGTTAATTTCATCCTGGGACGTGAGTGACAAATTCCAATTTTGTCAATTTTGGAGATCGAACTACGAAGACTAACTTGGCGGCCACCACAACGAGCGTCTCCCACTGGGCCTAGCAAACACGGCACCATTTGCGACTCCGATTCAACGTGACCGTATGTACTGAACCAACTGGATACTCTTGGTCTGACAATTTAAATCCTTTTCCACACCTCTTTCTCGTGAAAAAAAGAAAAATCTCATAATGAGTCGCCCAGAAAATTAAAAAAAAAGATGATAAAAGCGAAAATACCACCGGTCACTCACCGAATCTTGTTTTTCCAAATACTCAAATTCCGAAATTATCAACGAAAATTTTAATTCCATTCATTAAACTTCGCATAACGGGCAAGGCTAAAAACCAGATTAATATTCATTGTAACCTCACCACATGGGAGGAAATTTCTGCATTACTTTTGAATTTGTAGCAAGATAAAAAATAATTTGTTCAATTGTTAGAAGAGCTTAACTCAATGAAACAAACTCGCAATGAAAGTGTTAGTGATTACTTCCAAATATTAGAAGAAACTTCATCAAAAATTCTCGCAGCAGTTTACGCTGACGCCTCAGATTCGCAAATCCTTCCCGGACGCATTTCTGTGATTACTAACATGACACTCAATCGATTTATTTTCCACTCTAATGCTCAAATTTCTCAACTCCTTCGTTATCGAGATTTTAAAACAATTAACGAAGCCCTCACTGCAGCTGTTACCGAAGAAAAAGCTGCACAAATCCGACAAATCACATGTCGAATAATTGTTTTTTCAACAAAGATAAGAACACTTCCAATACGAGAAACACGAGACAAATTAATTTTACATAACAAAAAACAAACAATCGTGGACAATTCTTCCAAAATTCAAATAAAAATACGCATCAGTGGACTCAATCCAACTCGAATCAAAATTCGACTCACAATGCCAGTCAAAACTCTAATACCCAATGCAGATATTGCAAAGAGATGGGACATGACATCTCAGGCTGCTTCAAATGACAACGCGCAAATCAGAGGAAAAACCAAAATCAAAATCAAAAACCCCCTCAAAATTCTTATCGTTCAAATAGCATTAATTTCCAAACTCCAAATTTTCACAATCCGAACCTCAACACCAATCCATCAATCGACTCGGAGAATCAAACGACCCAACAGCAAAAACGTATGAAACACTCTCTCAACACATGCGGGCAAACATTTTCTTTGACACGTGCGACAGCAACCTTGATTATATTATTCTCGAGTCTGCATCATCCAGATGCCCCGATTAAACCCTAAAATTATTAATCGATAATGGCGCAGCAATTTCATTAATAAAAGAATCGAGTCTTGCTAATTTCAGAATCACAAATCCAGATCCAATCATCCTCACGGGTCTCAGTCGCGATGCCTCAGTTTATACAAAAGCAGAAACAAAAATCGAATTTAAAATCGACGACAAAATTCTAAAATCCAAATTCCAAATAATTGGTAATCAAACAAATGTCCCCGATGGTCTCATTGGTGGTGACTTCATCAAAGAACATCAATGCATTCCCATTCTCTACGAACAAACATTCGTGATGCACTGGCTCTCAGCTAAAGTGCCAATCTTTAGCAATACTCCTCAAAAATCAAATACACATGTCATAATCGAACCTCGCACGGAAATGATAATGAAAATTCAAGTAATAAATCCCCTAAAATTAAAAGAGGGAATCATTAATCGACAAAAATTGAATAAGGAAGAAACTCTTATAATTCCAAATGCTCTCGTAAAAATATCGGATAAAAATGAAGCACTTATCACTGTGGTCAACACTTCTATCAAGAAAAAAAATATTTAAAAAACCAGACTTACCCCTGGAAGCTATGCCTCATGAAGCATCAGTTTTTTATGTTAAAAATCATGAAAAAGAAAATATAAAAAATCGAATTGAATTATTAAGTAAAAACCTCCGTTTATCTCACATGAACAAAGAACAAAAACAATCAATAACAGAAATTTGCTATGAATTCTAAGACATTTTTCTCCTACCAGGCGACCTCCTCAGTAAAACGACAGCCGCGACTTGCGAAATTAAAACGACAGACGACACGCCAATTCCTACAAAATCGTATCGTTACCTAGAAGTACACAAAGAAGAAATACGTAAACAGACAAATAAATTACATTCACAAGGTAGTATCAGACCCTCTACTAGCTCCTGGGCTAGTCCTCTCATTATTGTTCCCAAGAAAACCGATGCATCAGGCGAAAAGAAATGGCGAATGGTCATCGACTATAGGCCATTGAATGAGAGAACAATAGGCGATGCCTATCCCCTACCGAACATTGAAGATATTTTAGTTCAAGTCGGGCATTCGCAATATTTCACAACTCTCGATTTAGCAAGTGGTTTTCACCAAATCCCTCTCAAACCAGAAGATCGACCAAAGACAGTTTTCTCAACTCCTGACGGTCATTGAGTGTGGGATTGCATGCCCTTCTTAACAACAAGCAATGCTTTGTTTATCTTGACGACATCGTCATCTACGGTTCATATCTTCAAAATCATAATGAAAAATTAATTAATGTTTTTACACGTCTAAGAGCAAATAATCTAAAGCTTCAGTCGGATAAATGTGGGTTTCTTAAAGATTCATGTCATTATCTGGGAAACGTTCTTTCAAAAGATGGTGCAAGACCCAATCCAGACAAAATAGAATCAATAAAACAAATCTCAAGACCCAGAAATCCTAAACACATTAAAATGTTCCTCGGTATGACCGGTTATTATCGTAAATTTATCCAAGGCTTTGCGACCATTGCTAAACCGCTGACCTCTCTCTTTAACGACGATGTAGAATTCATATGGACAGAGAAACAAGAGAAAGCTTTTCAAACACTCAAAGATGCATTGATAAAAGAACCCTTATTGCAGTACCCCATATTTTCCATTCTCTTCGCGCTTACTTGTGACGCCTCAAATGTCGGAATCGGCGGCGTCCTATCCCAAATAGTCGATGGAAAAGATTTACCTGTCGCGTACTATTCAAGAACCCTCAATAAAGCCGAGCAGAATTACTCAAGATCTGAAAAAGAGCTATTAGCAATTGTTAATTCAGTTGAGAAGTATCGACCGTATTTATATGGAAGACCTTTTACTATCTTTACCGATCATAAAGTCCTTCAATGGCTCTTCAATTGTAAAAATCCCTCTTCAAAATTAGTAAGATGCAAACTGCGTCTAAATGAATACCAATACGTTATAAAATACAAACCCGGTAGAATAAACTCAAATGCCGATGGTTTATCAAGACTCGTCCGATGAAGAAATCGCAAAAAATAATGAAGCAGTAGAAGAAATTCCCTCACTCAATGTCTTTGTTACCCACAAATCAAACAAAAAGTACCAAGACTTCATTAAATTCCACTACATGAATCAAGACATCATCGAGTATCAAAAGGAAAATCGTCCATTACCTAAAATCCAAGACAGAATTGTTTCATTCTGGTCAGTAGATCACGATGAATAAAATTCCTATTCTGAGTAGGTGAAAACACACTTCGACACTACTTACTTGAAATCCTCTTTAAAGGGTTTATCTAAATTAAAAATGACAAACAGACTCTTTATCTACATTATCCAATTCATTTCCATTTCGATAAAATGGAACTCAAAAATATTATCGAATGCCTCATGAAACTGAAAGATACAATCGGTACTAAAAGCTTCACTCTCATCCTCCCCAATAAAGCCACACACATCAAAGCGAATCAATTGAATGAAATGATTAAATTCATTTTCCCAAAAAATAATATCAAAATCTTTAACACTCAGAAAATCACTCCTAAAAACAAAGCTGAAGTAAAAACAATCCTTGAAGAATGTCATAGCACCAAGCTCGCTAGACATTGCGGTTTTAACAAAACCTATTAAAAAATTAAGGAAAGATATTACTGGTCAACATGAAAAGCGACATCCGAATTTTTTTTAAAACATGTCATTCATGTCAAATCAATAAAACAAATTTCAAACCAACTAGACAATCCATGGAAATTACCACCACTGCGTGCCAACCTTTCGAACGATTAGCCTTCGACGTAGTAGGTCCATTGCCCCTTACCGCTTCAGGTAATCGGTTTATTATCACAGGTCAAAACGACCTCACAAAGTATTCATTCGCATTTCCAACCCCAAATCATGAAGCTCAAACAATAGCACAACATCTAGTCGACTTTTTCCTACAATTCGGAATTCCTCAAAGCTATTT